CAAAATAGCCGAACGTTTCCGAAAGGGACACCGGAAGGCTGACTTTGTATGAACGGCCACCTTCTGTCATTTTTGTCAACACAACCTTAAAAACTCTTCGCCCCCGAGGCGCTGTAAGGCCGTGTTCAAAATCGAGTCTTTTATTTTTAATTTTTGAAAAAAATAGTTATGTCTATTTGAGTCGAGTAAAGTGTGTTTATGTCTATTTCCAATAACTAGCTTGTAATAGTATATTTTGAAATAAAAGAGTCCAAAATTTTGTGTCTCTAATTACACTTATGGCAGAACTACGACAGGTCTGATTCATGCGGGATCATGATACGTAAGCAATCTACGTAAGATTCGACCTCCACTAAAAGCGAAGGCATGAAAATGGTTTAACTATTTAGGTGCATTGCATCCCTGGCATATATTTACCTATCTGTCAAATGACCTAACACTAACGTGGTGGCTTCACCTTGTTGTGTTCATATCCAGAAAGGTGGTTGGTTGTGGTAACTCTTCCCTGTTAAAACAATGACAGAGAACTTCAGAACTGAGTGGGTTGGTACCGATGACCGACGACAATTGGTGGAACGAAATCACGGGTTGGAAGAAGAGGTAAAAATGCTGAGACAACACATGGCAAACATGTATCGGGCATGGGTGGTTGGGAAGGCACCCATACCACCACCGCTTGGTTTTTCTGATGGTCTCTTTACCCGAACCTTGGCACCTCTTGACCATTCCTCCATATCTCAGATTGAAGAGAAGCCCAAAGAAAGTTTTGGGAAGTTCTGACTCAAATGGAACGAGCAAATTGCTCGGGATGTCCTTCCCATGAAAGGAAAAGATGTTGTTGAACCTCCCCAACGACAGAGTCCAGTGGTCGTCCTTGCTAAATACCCCCGGGCTATATATCAACCCCGTGAATATCCTTGTAACTCTCCAAGTCGCCACTTTTCTTCGCAGGGTTCCCAAAATCATAATTTACTTTCTAGGTACCCAGCTCTACAACATGCCTACCCACTCCCTCGAGCATACCGGCTAGACTAGGGTTTAAGCCAAATCAAGCATTTAAGAATGAGAGGTTGCTAAAACGAGAAAAGGCTTTCACCCCTATTGGAGGGTCATATGCCAGCTGGTTCCAAGAGTTGAAGCAATTGGGCATGTTGAAGTCGATCCAGATAAAAATGCCAAACCATCTGTCAAAGAAGGGTGATTTGTCTCAAAGGTGTGCATATTGCTCAGATGCCCCAGGGCATGGTATAGAATAGTGTTGGAAGCTGAAGAAATCGATTAAAGAGCTTATTGACGCGGGTGACATCGTCGTCCAAAATCTGGATACTTGTGAAGTTCCTGGCATTGTGGATGCAGAACTCAGTGGCTAAAAGGCCGTGCTTGATATGGGAAAGGCTCTCCATTTCTAGGTCAACCGGAGAGGAGCTTTGGTGGTTTATTTTGTTGTCATTTCTATTGTTCGGGTTATTTTCAGGGTTGTAATCCGAATATTGTCTTGTGGTCAAACCCTCTTATCCTTTCATTTTGTTTAGCTTGTTTAGTCGTAGTGGTTTGTTTAAAGCTGTCTAGGTTTGCTTTAGGGTTATAACTGTTTGTTTTGTTGTTTAAACAGTTTCACCATTTGTCTAAATACAAATTCCGGTCTTTTATTATCTCCAGTCTTCTTCTTCGTTAGTCTTCTTTCACCCTTTATTTTGTTTTTGTTCAAACGCTGATCCTAGTGACATGACATGCGCGCACAGTTTAGGTCTAGTCTTAAAAGTTAATCATAAAACCAGTGGAAGGTGATCGGGGTATTTAAAAGAGATAAGAACGGTTTGAGATCATTTGAAGCCCAAACCATGAGAAACTAGGGCAAGTAAATGAGAGTGTCGCCCAATGATGTTATGTGTGGATATGGTTATCTGGTGCAATCAAAATATGTTACCAATGTTTTCGGTGGTTTGTTTAATTATGTTGTTTGTACTTGGCGTGTTTTGAATACTGGAATGAAGAAGGCATTTTGTTCTGCTATCTAAACAGTTTATCCCTCGTTAGCCCTTTGAGCCTTATTTATTTTCTTTCATACCCCTCTTTCGGAAATCGGAAGCAAGAGTAGAAGCACCAACATGAAAAAAAAAGGAAAAGAAAAGTGATGACAAAAAAAAAGAATGTCATAAGAAAACAAGGGAATTGGGAACTACGTTTGACCTGATTCCTCAAAGAGGATACGTAGGCGCTTCACAGCTCGGTCACAGTTTTGAAAAACAAAAATTAAAAATCCCCCAAGTGAGAAATTGGGGCTAAGGTTGTGTTTGTTATGAATAAATCGAGTTCCGAAGGTTGTAATTCTGAACCCAAAATTGAAGCGTTTTTAGCCTTTAATACCCTTTCTTTCTAGCCTATCCAAAATGCCACATTACGGTCCAAAAAAAGACCTTTTGACCAGTCATCAAAAGATGCCAAGTCAGACAAATGAGAGAATCTTATCGGTAACACCCCAATCCCCAATTGAAAAGTAATACAGATGCGAGAGTCTTATCGGTGAAAACTTTCACAGGCACCATAAGGCGATGAAAACTGAGAGAAAAGCCAAAATGAGAGAGACTTGACAGTGAAAATCTTCGGGCGCTACAAGTCGAATAAGGGTGAGAATCAGATGGGGAATCACCAAACGAAGATCTTGAAAGACGATTGACGACGGAGGATAGGCCACTTGTGCATGTCATGACCATTAGAGTCGGTATCCGCGTTTGATAGGTTTTTATTTTATAGTTTCTCTTGTTAGAGGGTCGTCTTTTTCCTTTGTTTTTATTTTGTTCCTTTTTTATCTTTCTCATTCCATAGAAAACTCCCCAGTAGAGTCTGTCGGGTCAAAACAAGTGAGAAATGATTTCAAAATATGCCATCAGCTTCCAATTAGGCAAGACGAGATCTAACTGGTGCATCCAAGTGGTATGAGTCAAGAAGGAGCAAGCACAAAGCCAGTGTCAGGATATCCCCATCCAAATGAGATTGACAAAAGGGCCGACAAGTGTCATGAAGGATATCCCCAGCAGGAATCAAAGGTTATAAACCCGAAGGCCAAGGCCTGTGGACAAATCTAGAAAAAACAACACGGAGAGCGATGGGCATGATTTGGAAAATTCATGTGAGACTCAAAGGTTGGGGAAAGTTATAAGCTAAACTTCAAGATGGCCAGATAGAGCAGAGCACGGGAAAGAGAAGAAGGAATCCATCCCAGCATGAGTATCATAACCCACCACCCCGTTTTAAACTGACCAAACTTTTCTTTGATATGAAACAGGGACGTAAAATGTCACTGATGACAGAGAAGCATGATGCAAGGAAGATTATCAAACTGGGGCAGAAAATTTTCTTTTTGAAAATTTTCTGGAAATCAGAGCTTACTACCGGTTTCCGAATTGGTGCAAAGCAGAGCAGGGAAGGAGAAAGGGAAAGACCATCCCCAACAGGAGCATAACAACCAACCACCGCATCTTAAACTAACAAATTTATTTAAGCGGGAAAAGGAAATGGCATTGAGGGCGGAAAGGAATCAAACTGGGGCAAAAAAATTTCCTTTCATTTTGAAAATTTTCTGGAAGTCAAATATCCACTTAGGGAAAGAAGAAAGGGAAAAGCCATCCCCAGCAAGGCCCCAAATCGGCCACCATTTTAAACTGATAAATTTTTCTTTGTTTGAGAGTTGAAACAGGAACAAAGCACTGCAAGGAAAAAGAAAAGAAAACAAGAAATTACAAAGGTAAGTTTCTCAAATCTTTGATCTTTACATTTCCCTCCTAGGATAAATGTCCTAGTCTGAAGAACTTTCTCCTAGGATAGAAATCTTAGTCTGATGAATCTTTCTCCTAAGATACCAAGATAGAAATCTTAGTCTGATGAATCTTTCTCCTAATATAACAAATAGAAATCTTAGTCTGATGAATCTTTCTCCTAAGATAACAAATAGAAATATTAGTCTGATGAATCTTTCTCCTAAGATAGCAAATAGAAATCTTAGTCTGATGAATCTTTCTCCTAAGATAACAAATAGAAATCTTAGTCTGATGAATCTTTCTCCTAAGATAACAAATAGAAATCTTAGTCTGATGAATCTTTCTCCTAAGATAACAAATAGAAATCTTAGTCTGATGAATCTTTCTCCTAAGATAACAAATAGAAATCTTAGTCTGATGAATCTTTCTCCTAAGATAACAAATAGAAATCTTAGTCTGATGAATCTTTCTCCTAAGATAACAAATAGAAATCTTAGTCTGATGAATCTTTCTCCTAAGATAACAAATAGAAATCTTAGTCTGATGAATCTTTCTCCTAAGATAACAAATAGAAATCTTAGTCTGATGAATCTTTCTCCTAAGATAACAAATAGAAATCTTAGTCTGATGAATCTTTCTCCTAAGATAACAAATAGAAATCTTAGTCTGATGAATCTTTCTCCTAAGATAACAAATAGAAATCTTAGTCTGATGAATCTTTCTTCTAAGATACCAAAAAAAAAGTGACCTAGTCTGACGAACTTTCTCCTAGGATAAAAAGTCCTAGTCTGATGATTTTTTTTCACCTAAGATGGTAACCATTTCAATCTTTACATTTCTAGTTTAAAAGTCAGGAGCCCTCCTGTATAATGGAGGTTATTATTATGTTAAACGAAGGAGAAATCAGGAGCCCGCCTGTAGAATGAAGGTTGTTGTTATTTTAATTGAAGAATTCAGGAGCCCGCTTGTAGAACGGAGGAATATTTTCAAGGTCAAATTAGAAGATGATGATGCAAAGGGTCACAACAAATACCCAGCATAACAAGTTTGGTGAAGGAAGCCAAGCGATATCGAAACTTATCAAATCACGTTCGATTGTCCTCAAATTTTGCACACAAGTCAAGAAACAACCATCTAACCCTATGATCCTCCTACAGCCTTCTAATGACCTCTTCTTCAATGTATCAAAAGATACATGAAAATAACATACATGTATGCAAAATTCTTAAGGCTAGCAAGTACATGGAAGAAGCAGGGTATCGGGAGGATGATGTACAACAGTTGAATACTTTCTCTATTAAGACAATATACAGAAAGCTAACCGGTGACTGTCAAAAGGTTGAATGGAGAAGGATGATATGTAATAACCAAGCATCTCCGAGATGGATATTTGTGCTTTACTTGACACTACATGGAAAGCTCCTAACCAGGGATAGACTGACTCAGTGGTATTGCTTGGACAATGTGGTATGTCCTTTGTGTGGAGAGGCAAGTGGGAGTATTAATCATCTCTTCTTTGCTTGTGCTTTCTCTTCAGAAGTCTGGAAAAGGCTATTGGAATGGCAAGGTATTCAGAGACAAGCTATGGGATGGCAATATGAGAAAGAGTGATCTATAGCATATGTAAATGGGAAGAATGTAGCTGTTGATTTGTATAGAATGGTTCTGGCAGGTGCGGTGTACCAAATATGGATCGAACGTAACCAAAGGATTTTTTAGCAAAAGACTAGAGACATTGAGGTTATCATTAGAGCAATCACCCAAGAAGTGCACTGCCGAGGGATTTTGAAGCCTAAATTTGCTAAGAAACTTGATGAACTTAATTTCTATCCTTAAGGAGAAGTGTTAATGAGTGTATTAGGGGTTATGCGAAGTTCTGACGGTTAGAGGTAGAACAACCCTGGGACTATTTGTCCAGGAGATGCTTGTTTTGTTTTCTGCTTTGTAAAAGATTCATTTGGTAAATAAAAATTAATTACTTACCAAAAAAATAACATACATAAAAATACTTAACTAGAAGATTCCCGGATTTCGTCTCTGAGAGTCTTAAACCTTCTAAAGTCCATTGCAGTCTAGCAAACCTTATTTGGGATTTTCAATAAATATTGGTTTTGGTTTCCTGACATTCATAGGAATTTAGTGTTGTCCAAATATATAGTCAAGCAAGAAAAGAATATAAATTCCATGTCCTTCAAATCAACCAAAACCACGAAAACTGTTGTTCAAAGAAACGAAGAAGGATGAACTAGTGGCTACAGCTAACAAGCATCAAGTTTCAAATCTAAAGTCCGCATGAAGCACCATTCAAAACTCAAGACCAAGTTTCAGAAGACTTATAGATAGGAATCTTGTAACTAGTAGCTGATAGGCTTAGTTAGTTTTTTTCATGTTTTCATTTTGATGTAATAGCAGGACCACGGATCGGAACCTCGACGGAACGGAACCTCGATCGGCTCTTCACCTCGGTATACCCAGTCCTCTCACTCACTCCTGAACTACACGTGGCCTGATTCCTTTATAGTCAAGGATATATAGGCAGCTCAAAACCAGGGCTCGGTCACATCCCTTTTCTCTTCCTTTCCCTTAGTTCTAGTCTCTCCCAATAAAGGTCGGGTCAAAATACTTGTCTAGTCGTTCTTTGACGGAAAACTCTTCGAGTTTTCAGTCAAAGAGGGGCAGCTGTAGACTCGTAATTTTTGACCCTCCGCGAGATTTTTCATAGTTTTGCGTAAAATATTTAATTTAGGCCTAATATAGCTATTTTAGTTAATTTTAACTATTTTACTCTATTTTGTCATAAAAAAAAATTACAAAAAAAGATATATAAAGTTTAGTTAATATATTTCTCATAAACTTAAAAAGACAAAAAAAAATAAGTACTTTATATTTTATTTTATATAAAAAAACTGAAAATCATAAAAAATAATTTTTATTAATGTCTTGTTGTTATTTTAAATGTTGAAAATACCAAAAAAATAGTTTTATTTTAATTGTTAATCTTATTTTGTAGTTATTTTGCTTACATAAGACTAATTAAGCAACGTCGTATTTTATTCTCGATTTCGGGCAAGGTATAATATTAGGGTTCAAACGACCCATTTTTAGGCGTAATTTTTGGACATAGCCCATAACAATCCGAGTCCACCATACGTGGGAAACAGGCGTGGGGGACACACACATAACATAATGCACGTGTGGGGAACACATTTCTTGGACAAAGAATTAAACCTACGTTTTGGACATTCTCACGTTACACTCACTGAGATTTGGGGGGACGGTCAGCTTTTTACACGAGGGGGATGGGCTAGAAAGAAAAACAGAAGGAATATATACTTAGGGACATTCACGTGAGGGAGAGGAACACAAAAAAGACATTGACTACACATTCACGTGAGAGGAATATATTTGAGGGAGTCTGGAGATATTTTAAAGGGGAGGAGATTAAATACAAGGAGGGGAGTCTTCAAAGAGCTGGAGATTTTGGAAAAAGAAAAAAACTCACACAAAGGAGAGAATTAAAATACACGAAGGAGACCATACTATTGTGAAGTCTTCTTCTTCTGAAAAAAAAGACATACATCTTCCTCATACAAAAACTTAACGAAGCAGCCCTCACGATCATCTTCTCACCTTCACTACCATCACGACGTCTTCCTCCAGTCGCACAACCAGTTAAACCATCACCCACCAGTAGACCACCCTTTTCCTCTAACACTGTCCGTATACTTGCTGCCATGAACAACCTGTAGCTCACCATATCCACCAACTCGTCAACCACATTGAACAACAATAGAGAAAAGACGAGACAAAACCCTCAACCAAACAAAAACCTTCCAGTTGTAATGATCCAACCTGTCATTTAATGCATTTCAGTCCCGTTACCCCCGTAATATGCTTCCCCGTGTGTTGATATCCGTGTCGGATGAGTGTGGGATGGTTCGGCTGAAATTTGGATAGAAATGAGACACTTAGTCTCCTTAAGGAAGGTCTAAATTGAAAGAGTTGACCCAAAGTTGACTTTCGGGTTAGAGAGCTCGGAACGGATTTCCGATGGCTCGACTAGTTCCGGGGGATGATTTGTGACTTGTGTGCGAAATCGGAAGTGAATTCGGAGGTCCGGAGTGAAAATTAGATAGGTTTGCCGAAGTTGGAATTTTGGAAGATTCCGGTTGATAGGTCGAAATTTGATCCGGGGGTCGGAATGAAATTCCGACAGTTGCACTAGCTCCGTTAGGTGATTTCGGACTTGTGTGCAAATTTTCAGTCAATTCGGAGATGTCTAAGCCGAGTTTTTGATCGAGTTTGTAATTTGAAAGTTTAAGTTCAATTCGAATTGAATTCATTGAATTTCTATGATTTTTGGTGTTTAAGGTAGCGTTTTTATGACCCGAGCAAGTTTGAATGATGTTATGGGGTGAGTATGCGTTGTTGGTTGAGGTCCCGAGGGCCTCGGGTTGAATTCGGATGCCCAACGGGCACGTTGGAGTTGGAAAACTGCTGCTGAATTGCAGCAGTCAGTGCAGCAGAGATTTGGCCATCGCGATCGCGTGGCCAAGGATGCGATCGCGTGGCTATAGGCCAGGTGTTCTCTGCGATCGCGTAGAGAAGGTCGCGATCGCGTAGGGTCAAACGCTGGGGTCCTGCGATCGCGTGAGGGAGGCCTGCGATCGCGTGAGTTTGGTCCTGTGTACTCTGCGATCGCGTGGCTAAGCCTGCGATCGCGTAAGAGGGAATCGTGGGGCAGCTTTGCTAAGCCTACGCGATCGCAGGCGAGATGATGCGATCGCGTAAGGCAACGGACCTGGGCAGAATGTTTTAAGTACCTTGTTTGGTCCGCGAAGCCATTTTCATTTCCACCATTTTAGACGGTTCTAAGCTCCAAGTGAAGGGGAAAACAGAGGAATATCATCGGGTATCGATTGGAGGTAAGTCCCGAGTTGTTATTACGTCATTTTATCGAAGAATTATCCTTTAAATTCTTGAAAATTGGTAGAAATATCAAAAATCTAGGGCTTGAGAAATAGTATGAAAAATGCGGATTTGAGGGGTCAAATGGACCCCGATTTTGATGAATTTGGTATGTATAGACTCGGGGCGAGTCGAGGGTCGTAATGATGTAAAAATTTTCGGATTTCGAGACGTGGGCCCGGGGCTCGGGTTTTGTCATTTTCGTGAATTCCAATGCTTTTCGAGATATTTTGATTGGGATATGTTCCATTTACATCTTGTAACATATTCGATGTGATTTCGGGCAGATTCGGCACTCGTTGGAGAGAAATCAAAAGGAAAAGCTATTGCGGGCTAGTTCTTCGGCCATTTCGAGGTGAGTAATGGGCGTATATCTTTTCCGAGGGTATGAAACCTCGTATTATCACATTGTGAAGCTATTGTGAGCTGGACACGCACTCCATGGTAGTGCGGGGTCGATAATGTTGTGAAATGAATACCGTTTAATCCGCGTAGTAACCTATATTGTGGTTAGCGCTTTACTTGTTAATTATATTGATGACATGTGGGCTTAATGCCATGTCTGGGGCCACGTGCCAAATATGTACGATCCCGTAGGGATGGTTGTAGGCTTGGAGCCATACTTGGGGCCTTGCGCCGAATGGTAAATCCTTCAGGGATACGTTTATTTGCAATATTATGACATGAAATTCTTATATGAAACGGTGGTAACTATAGGCACCGTATGCTATAATGGAAGCAGTGGTAACTATTGACACTGCATATCATAACTGAAAGCGGTGGTAACTATGGACACCGGGTATTGTAAATGCTAGCAGTGGTAACTATTGACACTGCATATCATAATGAAACGGTGGTAGCTG